TGGTATGCTTCACACTAACTAGTTTTGCTTTCACTTTAGCTACTTACCTTGGCAGACTCCTTATCGTAGGTTTATTTAATGGAAGAACACATTTAAAATGAAGAAAAGTTCATTTGGACTGGGCCTAGACCTGGGCAATCAGACTTGTAGTCGCAGAGGTTTTATAAAGGGAAAAAACAAACCGATTTCAAAATGGAAGAACTTCAAAATGTATGTCTAATCAATTTACGAAATAGGCTCCTAAATAATGTGAAAGTTGTATTTGTTTCAGCAAACTAGGTTGCGCTTTTTCTTGAGTTCGTACAAGCAGCATCTGCTTCAAGTCACCTTTTTAAGAATTTGTGCCAAACATACAAAATTTAGAAATGCTTCTTCCTCTTCTTATTTTTATTTATGCTGTTCTGTCTTCAGGGGTCTCCACAGCGAGTCATCCTCCTCCACCTCACTCTGTCCCCTGCATCCTCTGTCCTCACTCCAACTACCTCCATGTCCTCTCTAACTGCATCCATATATCTCCTCTTTGTCTTTCTCCTGGCAGCTGCATTTCTAACACCCTTCTACCAGTATACCCACTGTCCCTCCTCTGGACTTGTCCAAACCATCTCAGTCTGGTCTCTCTAACTTTATCTCCCAGTTGTTCAACCTGTGCTGTACCTCTGATGATCTCATTCCTAATCTTGTCAATTGTAACTCCTAAGGAGAACCTCAACATCTTCATTTCTGCCACTTGCAGTTCTTTCTCCTGTCTTTTTGTCCATGTCTGTCTCCAGACCATACAACATACCTGGTCTCACCACTGTCTTGTAAATTTCCTTTGACCATTGCTGACACCCTTTTGTCAAAAATCACTCCTGAAACTTTTCTCCATCCTGTCTGGACTCTATTTCACCTCTTTACCACACTCCCCATTTTCTTGGACAGTGGACCCCAAGTACTTTATTGCTTAGTATTGTCTCAAACTAGTTTGAGGCAGAGAACTTGAGATTAGTTCGAGAGTTTGAGCAGGCGGCGGGGCAGAGGGCGGACTACATGCACAAACTGGGTGATCCAATATGAGAAGGAGCTATTTATAATGAGTTTGTTGCAGCTCCTCAGACTGAAGACGTTTTTGGATAAAAGGCAACAAGTTTCAGCAAGAAGGAACCGTCCAGAGGACCTGACTTCACTTTGTTAGATGTTTCATCTTAAGAAATTGTGAAGATGGATAAAAAAATATCAAAACGACTGCTACAAAAATAGAATATGTCTTATTGCAACATGAAACGTGCTACTTTTCTTATGATAGAATAAGAGAAACCTTTCTGGGTGGAGTTTGCCTGTTCTCTCCGTGCATGCGTGGGTTTTCTCCGAATACGCCGGTTTCCTCCCACAGACCAAAAACATGCATGTTAGTTTGATTGGTAACTCTAAATTGTCTCTAGGTGTGAGTGAGAGAGTGAATGGTTGTTTGTCTCTGTGTCCCTGTGATGGACTGGAGATCTGTCCAGGGTGTCCCCCGCCTCTTGCACAGTCATAGCAGGATATGGACACCAGTGACCTCCTCGACCCAAAAAGGAGGAAGCGGGAAGATAATGGATGGATTATTATTACTAAACATAGAGTTTTAAAGAATTTAAACAATATTTGGACTGTATGGGCACAACAAATAGTAATCAGGCTGCAAAATCAAAATGTTCACAGTGTCTCTGTGTTTCATGAGGCAGAACATGCAAAGCGATTTTATTGTAGTTTTTTTTTAATGAAGGCAGTCTTTGCTTACCTATTGCCACAGTCCTCCCCCGTTACTTGCCTTCAAAAAACTTCTCTGACTTGATTTATGGTTATTACTTACCTCGCTGGGCCTAAATCAAGGAACGCCTGAAAAAGTGTTCAGGTTACCTGATCTTAACTCTACATGGCACCTCTAATAAATTGTGTACACTTGAAGGTCAAATTGCGGGATCCAATTTAAACTGAAACAATTGATCAGCTTCAGCTTAAGGAGCTCAAGCCCTCTGAAGAACTCTATACGTGAAAGAAAGAGAATTCTTCTTTTTTATACATGAACAGTGTTTCTTGGTAGGATTCAGTGCTCCAGGCACCGCTTTGCTGCCAGTACTTGTTCAGTGAGTACAAGAAATAGTTGATGATTTAAAAATATATATATAGAAATCGGGGTTGGATTTTTATAATGTATGCATGTTAATAAGTTTAAATTAATACAGAAATCGAAGACAAGCAAATCAGGCCCTTGATGAAAGCTAACTCAACTTTTAATAGGTATTACAGCTGAAAATGTAAAATGTGTTCCCTAACGTTTACCCACATTTATTTTGTACATTACTTAAAAATATTGCTATTTTATATGTACTAAAGAAAAGAAAATAAGTGAACACTCTGAAAGTACAGAGTTTGAAGTTCATCAAAGGTCAATATAGACTGGTGACTGTTGAGTTGGCTAGAAATGAAGTATGAGTTTAGGGCTGGAGAATATATCAAAATTTTATCGTCATACTGGTGCAGTGGTTAGAGCTGTTGCCCCTCGGCGAGAATGTCACAGGTTCTTCTCCTGGCCAGTGGTCTTTCTGTGCAGCGTTGGCATGTTCTTTCCGTGCATGCGTGGGTTTTATCTGGGTACGTTGGTTTCCTCCCACAGACCAAAAGCATGCATCTTTGGTGCATTGGTAACACTAAATTGTTCCTAAGTGGGAGTGGGAGGGTGCAGCGTTTCTCCTAGATCAGCTCCACTGGCGGAGTGCTTGTATAGTTTTTTTTGGCGATGGTGGGTTGGGACAGAGTCACGTTAGGGTGCATTCACTCCAGCCCTGTTTAGTCCGCTTTAATCGAACTCTAGCCCGTTTTCCTAGGAAGTCCGGTTCGTTTAGGGAGGTGTGAACGCCCCATCGAACTCTGTCACGGAACAAAAAGGCGAACTCTGGCCCGGGCTAAAACCTAGGTCTCGGTCCGATAGAAGAGAACTCCAGCGCGGTTCGAGTACATTGTGAATGCAATCAGACCGGGCCCCGCTCCACAAGCAAGAAGTGGAGTACAGCGCAGGGCAAACAAACACGCTTTTACCTCATATGGAGCCGTCAGTTGCCGTGTGTGGAAAAACAATATTCTCCATGGTTGTCTGCCTCATCTTCCGCTCATGCCGAGTCCATTTTTGAAAAATTACAAAATATAACTCCTAAAACTTGATGCCACTCCGGTTTTGATTTTATTTCCAGAAGAAGAAGAAGAAGAAGTATCTTCTTCAGAGGTTTTTGTGTCGTTTCTTTCAGTTGTTCTTGGTGCAGCGCCCCTCAGGCAAGCGGGGGAACAGGTTGGTTCAACAGGTTGACTCGACTGCACAGTGCAGTGTGAACGCAAACGCACCAGCTCAAATGTAAACAAAAGGTCATGAATATTGGTCCCCAACCGAACCGAGTCTACTGGACTATCAAGTGTGAAAACAACCTTAGAGCCATGTCTGTGTTGCCCCACCATGCTGCCAGTTTTAACGACAACAGGGTGGTGGTGGGGGGTCTATGTAGTCAACAGGTTGAAGCCACCTGCCCTGTGGCGATCAGTTCTTGACCGTTTGTCTGTGTGACCTGCGTCGCTTTTTCTGCTGCCGTGTACGTAATAAATATATATATATATATTGGGCTGCACACAGATGGTGTGGGTGGATGATACAGCAGGTGCTAAATAATTTTAAATATTCATTTAAAAAAAAATTTCGTACCGATCGTGCGGCTCGTCCATCAATCAACTAGTTGTGTGTCATGTCCAGTCTTACTTTGAAAAACCGCAATAGAGCAAGTCCATGAAAAACGAACCTCAAACTAGCGAGGGACCACTGTACTGCCATGTCTTCAAATTATTACAGAAAACTCAGTTTCGTTGTGCGTTTCCTTGACTGATGAAGACATCCGGATCGAAGGCGAAACGTTTCAGCCTAAAAAAAAAAAAAAAAAAACTGTCCAGATGACCTGACTGAAAAATGTTGGATTACAGAAAACTCTTTACATAAAACTGAACATAATCATAACAGTCGGACCAAGTACCAGGGCTTCGTTTGTAAACTGATCCATGCCGGAATGCAAATATTGGGCAGGGGTCTGGGTGTCCTCCCCTTCGAAATTTTTGAATAAAGTAGGTGTGATCTCCTACATTTTGGTGTATTTTAACAGGTTGTTAAACTTTTACATGCTTATTAAAAAAAAAAATATATATATATATATTTTTTTTTTTTTCGGACCCCCAAGCTTCGGCTCGTGGACCCCCAGGGGTCTGGGAACCCCAGTTTGAGAACCACTGCCTTAAACTACTTAAACTTTTCCAATTATTTGAATGTTCTACAATCATTTCCATTTCCAGTAACCACCAGACCTAAAATTGTCCCATTGTTCTTTTTCTTTGTTTAATTTGTTTTTTTTTGTGATTGTGTCGTTTTGACTCTTCGGAGATTTCAGCTGCCTCGTGAGCCAAAAGCTCGGCGATACCTGTAAATAGAACAAATAAATAAAAGATCCAGCTTTTTGTTCCCTGAAAAAAAAAAAAAAAAACACCGAAAAGCTTCTTCTTCCTCTGACACTTCAGCTGTGAAAGCTCCGAAAAGAAAGCTGACGCTGTCTACAGCCCGCAGCGGCTTGTGATGTGAACCAGCTGCTGGTTTGGAACCCCAGACTTGTCAACACTGATCGAAAACAAGCTCCTGGGTATAAATTGTTATCTTCGCATTTAACGGAAGGCTGGTTTGTGATTACTTAGGAGATGTCTCCCTGTACCCAACACTTTTCGGATGATGTTTTCACTCGCCAGGATCAGAGCTTGAACCTTTACCTGCTTTTGTGTGGAACAAGCAAACACATCTTTAGAGTCGTGCTAATGGTTCTGATTTTTTTTTTTTCAGCCACATGACAAAACATCTGTTCTTGGAGTGTGTTTGTGAAGATGCGATGTTAGAAACATAGTCCTAATGTTTGACTTGTTGTTTTAGTATTTTCTGGTGAAGTGTATAATTGTGTCTTTAGACAGGGAAACCACCTGTGGAGAATCTGTTCTCGGATCTGTGTGATGGACGGCGTCTGCTGGAGCTGCTGGAGGGGCTCACAGGACATGAGCTGGTACAGAGAAACCCACACACACTCATACACACGTATGCAAACGCTCACATTTATTGTCATTTGGCTTTTTGAAACGCTCGAGGATGCCCCTGAGCAAGGTCTGGATCCTCGTCAGTATTCTCCTCGCTCTGCTTTGTCTGTGTTTTTGTGTAGGTGAGACTGGAGAAAGGCTTCACCCGCGTTCACTCGCTGAACAATGTCAACCGGGCTCTGCAGATCCTGCAGAAGAACAATGTGAGCCTGAACACACGTCTTTTTTGATGGTTTGTGCATGTGTATAGTACTGGTTATTTAACAGTGCGCTTAAAATTGGGAATATGTTGCATTTTTTTGTTTTATCACAACTCTAATTCTGGAAAATATTAACAAATTTATGACCCATTCCATCAAATCAGGGATTAAATTATACTTTGGTAAAAAAAAAAGAAATTAAGCACATCTTTAGATTCCTGGCTCTAGTTTGATACCTACTATAGATCACCCTGGTATTTTGAGTGGTTCCAGAATTATGGCTTGATATATCCATCCTTTACACAACTTCTTCCTTTTCGGATCACGGGAGTCACTGGTGCCCATAACCAGCTACCATTGTGCGAGAGGCGGCGAACACCGTTGACATGTTGCAAGTCCATCACAGGGACACATAGAGACAAATGAGACAAACAACCATGCAAAGTGAGAAAACTCCACCCAGAATGGCCCCCCGGTCAGGATTCAATCCGGGGGACCTTCTCGCTGAGTGGGCAGCTCTACCAACTGCGCCACCATGCCGCCGGCTTGATATACATCCTGCAAAATGGGACACTTCTTTGCCAGAGTTTTTAGAACACGAGCTTTTACAAAATGTGTAAGTTACTGTTACTGTATTTTTTAACCAAAATATAATCCCTAATTTGATGGGGTGGGTCACAAGGTCTTCCCTGAAAAAGATCACGTCTGGATGTGAGCAGATGTTGTTGCATTGATAGCTCTTTTCCAGATGTGTCAACCTCCCATAGTATAGGCACTAATGCACCTCTTTGCCATCCGAGAGGCAGATTTTTGAGCTGTGAACCTGGATGGTCCACTCCTTTTTAGTATAGAGGATGTGGCTTTTAAAAAAAATTCAATTTCCTATTTGCCTCAGTCCATTTTAAATGAACTTTCCCCAAAGAAGACAGTGGCATCTCCATCAAGCAATTTCTTATGTTGGCAAAGATAATCTACCAGCTGCAGTGGCTCATTGTCACTACCAAGTAGTTATTGGTCCATGGCTTTAAGATTTTCTAAAATGCGAAAGGAGAATATATTCTGGTATAGGCTCCGTTTGACTCTGTCCTTAAACTTTCTCTTGTTCAGCCCATAACTTCTGATTCGCTCAAGATAATTTAACAACACTTGAAACAGATTTGTACCTCCACTAGATGGCATGTCTTCCTGTATGTCTCCTCAACTCAAAGGTATTCACAGTCATCCCTGAGAGGTGCCATGTCAGCTGTATGGGATACCCTAGTATGATGCCAAGATATATTAAAGTCCCCTGCACTTATGCTCTCTGGTGACACTCGGCAACTATTTCCTTCAACTCAACTATTTGATAAAAATCCAAGTTCTAGTAAACCCCTAAGTGCTTCTTTGTTTATAGTAATTATGTTAGTAAACACGTTTATAGTTGGAATATCTTCAGAAGTGCGCCGTCGGCAGATCTGCGACCCCGGTTCAGTTCTTCAATGACAGCCTTAACGCAAAGTCACTCTTCTGTTTGCATGCGTGGCAAATGCGTTTTTACACCCCATTACTTATTTTGGTGTCTCTGACTCCTATTTCATTTAATTCCTCCTTTTCCTGCATATCGAAGTAGCTTTTGAATGCGTAGGAAGAAGGATCACAAAAGGTCTCAAATTAGGGTCAAAGGTTATGCCTGGTATTTGCTTGTCTGGACCATTGTTGTAGATTGCACTATAGTATTTTGCCGAAGGGCATACATTGTGCGTATATTGTACCGTATGCGGTACTCTTGTCTTTATAGTGTCCTCAAAAACAAAAAACATAAGGATCAGAGAAAGTATTGCCATCCTTAGCCCTCTCTGTGTGTTTACCACCTCTCTACAGGTTGATCTAGTGAATATTGGAGCGGCAGACATCGTTGATGGGAATCACAAACTCATTCTTGGGCTCATCTGGAGCATTATTCTCCACTGGCAGGTGTGTGTGTGCATGAATGTCAGTGTGTCTCTGAGGCATTTCAGTTATTTATATACATTTTTTTCCCCAATATCAATTATTTAATGACTGTAAAAGACTTATGTCTAGATTTGTATTTTTTATGTATGTTTTATGCTTTTCTCACATTTGGAGTTTAATGGCAAAATGTTTCGCATTATGGCAACAAATTGCTACACATTTTCCTTAGATGTGTGTCTGAATAAGGTTAGTCACATTGTGTGTCTGTCTTGTTGAAGGTAGTCAGTTACCATGTCTTGAGAAATTCACAATAGTCTGGAAGACTCAAAAAATACAAACAGATGCCACAAAGGAAACTGACATTGCAACTTCAACACCACATTAAAAGTCATTCCATGCCCCACTATCAGTTAATCAATATCTCTATCAATATTGATTCACAAAGTGTTTATCAGGCAGTACAGATGGCAAAGTGCATGACTGGATTTGTAAAAACTTTGGAGTAATGCAAAATGTGCAACATTTCTTATAGAAAGATTTTGTTTTTCAAAATTCATAGTTTTTTTTTAATGTTTGAATTAGAGATGCACGATATTGGATTTTTGGCCGATATTCGATACCAATACTGATATTTCCCCCCTAGACCTACTGACAGAGACATAGCTTTTCTCTGCTGTGGAATTAAATACATTATTTGGCATGGTCTTTGTCAATTTGGTCTGCTACTAAATGCAGATGCCAAAAAGGGGTCTGAAAATGATGTAACACTTCAACTTGGATTATGCTTAATGTCAAATTTATTCATGACATTTACTCTCTCTAACACAATGACAAAAATCGAACAGTGCAAATTAGTTAATTTTCACAAATCTAAACTGGAGCTGTTCACAAGCGACAAGTGAAATGGGCATAAGTAGTAGTACATTAATAGATATACTGTGTATATATAAAAACAGCACCTCTTATATCGGTGAGATATTTTGATGGAATGACCGATGTCCGATATTTAACTTTATCGCTAATATTGACCGATACCAATACTATGTCGATAATATCATGCATCCCTAGTTTGAATGACTGAAGGATGCCTGTTTGTCTTTGTCAAGTCAAAGTGAAGTCAAATTTATTTATAAAACGCGTTTAAAACAGCAACTGCTACCGAAGTGCTTAACAATAAAAACACAGCATTAAGTAAAAAAACAAGACATTATTAAAAGCTTCAAAAAATGAAAACATAAAAACACAATGAGAAACAATGGGATAATAATTTGCGCTTCGATCTTAACTTTAATATTTATAGTTTACCACAAAGTAAAATGAAATAAAAATTTTTTAGAAAAAGAAAAAGAACACAAATAAAATTGAAACTATTATCATTAACAAATATTATTTAACCTAACTATACTTTTCATATCATACATATGAGTTATATTTAATAATAGTATGCATTGTAAATGAAGTTATCTGATATAATTGTGCTTAAAATGGTCTGACTAGCGCACATAGGTGTTGTGCCCAGACTCCCCTGTTGAGATGTTTCCCAGCCAGCTTAATGTCAATCAATCAACCTTTATTTATACAGGTAAATCCCATTGAGCCTCGAGGACTCATTTACAATGTGTTTTCCTCTGCCATAACAAAAAATACATTCAGGCATTTTCTGTAAGCATTTTACTTTAAGTATAGTCTATTTAAACATCGGAGGTTAAGGAGAAAATGCGGCAGGTTTAATCAGAACGTGAACAAACTACCTTTTTATTGTCAGCTAGTCCAAAATACCCTCGTATATCAGACTTCTTGAGTCTTTGAAACCCTTTATAATTAAGCATTAATGTCCCGTCGAGATAATTTGAAACTGTAGCACTGATGGAGCCAGCAGAAGCTCAACTGGAGAAAAACTATTACTTATAGTGAAACCATTGGGAAAATAAAAGACAAGTTCGTACAAAAATTTGCGTAGACTGAAAAACTTCAACAAATCATTTTAAACAATTTAATCATATATTCGCAAAAGTCCAATTCCCACCAGCATCAGGACACTGACCTGTACATGGCCTATGGTCTTCCCACATATATACGCCTTGCAACATTGTTCGGTTAAGAAAACGGCAGCAAACTAAAACAGTACCATGGAAAAGTTTTGGGGGGATATTTACCTAATTTAACTCAAATGGTTTGCTTTTAGCCTAGCCTGGACGAAGGCTTCTGCCTCCTTTCCCATCACTGATAAGGTACTAATGATAAATAACTCTTACACAGAACATCACTTGAAAAATAACCACAGCCCTTTCAGTCAAGGGTTTTGGACTGTAACCTGTCAATCTACATAATCCACCACGTATTTCATTTTAGTTCAATGCACACCTCAGTCACTTTCTCTGGTTCTTGAAGCGTCTTGAGTTAATTTTTTCTACAAATGCTTCCTTGTGAGCTTGTTGCCTTCAGCTGTTGCCGTGCTGTCAGTCCAGACACCACAGATTGATACGTGTCATTAAGATGAGCTGTCAGCTGAGGAATGCTTAGGCATTTGTCACACACTGAAACTTAGCCTCGGCAGGAAAGTTAATCTTACCGTCTTGCTGTTAAAAGTACCTCTTACCATAGATCATGCTTATTGCACTTTTGACATTTTACATTTTCATGTGATTACTTTGTTGGTTTATCCTTTGTTACTTAATATTTTCTGGGAGAAAAATTATTTTAAAAGTTGCTTATTCTATATAGTTCAGTTGATTTAAAGTGGAAATCAATTGAAATTACGATAAATGATTGATATGTTGCATATTGTAGATTGCGCTTTGATTGATCAAATTAACGTGCTAACAAGTACTCTGAGTTGGGTCAACACCAAAGTAGATTGTGGTTGTCTAATAGGACTACAGTAGTCCCTCGTTTATGGCAGGTGTTACACCCCCCCAAGTGAAAAACCACAAAGTAGGGACGGTATGTTTATTTTTAGTATTTTTATATATTTTAAGGCTTTAGAAACCCTTCCTACACTCTTGCAATGTTCTGAACTCTTAAACCTAAGTCATTTTAACAACATACGTACAGTACTGTATACTGTATGTCGCTACTAAATTTTACTCACCGGGCTCTACAGAACACACTGTAACAGTTCTTGCTCCGGTCGACTCAGTTCCGTCCAACCCAGTTCGTTTCTGCAGACGTAACCTGTGGCAACAAAGCCCCAAATCAGTCCTCTAATCTCTTAAACCTACTAATTTTAACAACATACATATAAGTAGCTACTACATTTTACTTACTGGTACTAGCTCTGCAGCTAAGACGCACGAGCTACTAAGTAAAATGTCTTGATTATGGTCGTGTGTATATGTATGTATTATCATTGTATGTTCTCATACAATGGCGAAATTGGATCTCTGCATTTAACCCATTCACCACTAGGAGGCGCAGTGGGCAGCTATTTGTGCCTGGGGAGCATTTTTGGGGATAGGGTGTGCTGCTCAGAGATGCCACGAGATGTGCAATGACTGGGGATCGAACCTGGGATTTTCGGGTCCCGAGTTGGCTGCCTCTACACCATCTAGGCCCCCACTCTTAAACCTACTAATTTTAACAACATACAGTACATATGTATTGCACTACAGTACTACTACTACACTACACAGTAGCTAGTGCAAAATTTTATATGGGTACTCACCAGCCTTGGTCTGGTTCTGGACGGATTCTGATCGGCTCTCTGCAGCTGTTGAGCACCAAGACGCTTTTAGAGAGCCAGACTTTTGGAGAGCCAGCACAAAGTCCAAATAACCCGGAGAAATCTGATGAAAAGTCCGGTTGAGCTCCGGAGAAGACATTGGACCTCCAAACAACGTCTCTCAACTTGAGAGGCTCCCCTGGATGGGCAAACAGCACTCACATTAACCGAAGAGGTTGATCTGGTTCTGATCGGCTCTGCAGTCACTGAGTGCCAAAGCCAATAAGGACTGAACTTTTTAGTCAGGTTCAGATCGGATCAAAACTTTCCTTCCATTTTGGCAGAAAGCACATGGCTGGAAGCACTGTTGAATTCTGGGAAGTGTACTGTTGCCATGTGGGCAATGAGGTTCTTTTGGACTGAAAATACAGTGTAGAATTATTGAAAGAAAACTACAAAATAATGGCACCTGTCAAATTTTTATTTTTTGTCAACTTTTTCCCAACCACGTGAGTACTGTAGTGATATTACTGTACAGTCCACAATCGTGTGTCTTGTACAATATCTTTGTGTCTAATATTATAGACTGTACATCCGCAAACCACGATAGATCGAGTCTGCGAAAGTCGAACCACGAAGTAGCGAGGGACTACTGTACTAGATAAAGACTTAAAAAGTTTGATTTTTGGGGGGAAGGGTTACAAAAAAAACCAATTTCCGATTAAAGGCAACATGGTTGTACAAGTTTGGTTTGAACAGCTGCACAAACCACAAGACTTCTGGAACAATGTTTTTGTACATTCAAGACCAAAGTAGAGATATTAGGTCATAATGCACAGCTCCGTGCTTGGCGAAAACCAAATGCAGTACATTTTGGCACAAACGCCTCAAACCAACTGTTAAGCATGGGGATGGAGGGCTGGTAATTTGAGCTCGTTCGCCTTCACAGGTCCTGGGCATCTTACAGTTATTGAGTCAAACATGAGCTCCTCTGTAGACCAAAGTATTCTAGCGTCAAATGTGAGGCCAACTGTTCAGCAGCTGAAGCTTGGACCAAACTGGGTCTGGAGGCAACACAGTAATGATCTCAAAATCAGCAAAATATCTACAGCAGAACAACTCAAACAGAAAAGAGTCAAGTTTTTCCAACGGTCCAAAGTGCAGACCAGAATCTGGCAGAAATACTGTGGTGTTGGGCTCATTCTTCAGAGATATGAGCAGAAACGGATGTCTGCAAATCCCAACGAAATAAACAATGTTCTAAAGAAGAGTGGACTCGTATTCCTCCACAGCCATGAGTGAGACTGATAAAGGGGATTCTACAAGATAAGTTGCAGGCTAGGCGTTTTTTTCATACACA